TTGAGCTAAGACAAAAATGAGAAATCTTCTTCTATAAGGGGGAGAAGGTAAATATTTTGGGCTTGGACACACAGTCTCCATGGAGACCCCTTATCTCTGCTGGCATCAGGCAAAAGACACCCTGGACAACAAGCAAATGAATGGGTGTGACTGTGTGCCAATAAAACTTTATTTACAAAGACAAATGGTGGGTGTAGGTATTTATCAAGTTCCTACTAAGTGTTGAGGCCTATTCCAGGGCCTGGGAACACAGTGGCCGGGACCATGGTACACAGTTCCGTGAAGCACTGTGGTTACTTCAGACAAGGATGTAGGCGGGAATCCCAAACCAGAATGGTAGATGGCAGGGCCAGGGAGATAGCTCAGTAGGATAAGCTCTTGCCTGGCAAGCACAGGATCCAGAGGCCAATCCCCGGTGCCGCAAAACAAACAAACACAATGGTAGATGCCAAGTGGGCAGCCAGAAAGGAAGGAAGGCCTCACGCAGGAGGAGGAGGAAGAGGAGGAGGAGGAGGAGGAGGAGGAGGAAAAGGTGTCTAAAAGACAAGAATTAACTGGCCTGGGAGATGCCAGGGTGGCCTCTGGCAGAGCACAAGCCGTGCCAAAGCCCAGGGGCAGCACGGAGCCTGCGCGATGCCAGCCCAGGGAAAGGGCAGGGAGGGCCGGCAGGCGCGGGGCTGGGGGCTGCGCGGAGGAAAGTGGGCTTCACCTGAGGTAGAAGGCAGCAGCGGAAGGTGCAGGCGCTGCGGGAAAGGGTCCCCTCCGGGGCTGGGCGGGGGCTGTGGCAAGAAGCAGCTGGCCTCTGTGTGGCCACCACGCCTGCCCCTGGGCGCTCAGGCCTGGTCCCTGCTGTGCACGCGCCCTCGGCTTCTAGGGACCTGTAGGGTTCATGCGGAGAAGACTCGGCGCCCCGACGTGTCCTGTGTGTGTGCGTGCGCAGGCCCTGGGCTCAGAGGCCCAGTGTCTGGGAGAAGCCGACCAGCAGCCCGGTGAGGAGCCTCTGACCCCAGCTGGTGCCACATTCCAATCTCAGCTCCGGGGCTTTTGGTCAAGGTGACTCCAGGCCTCAGTTTCCCTCTTTGCGAAACAGGAGCCAGGACACTGTCTGCTTGCGCCCAGAGGTGGCACAGAAGTGTCCGCAGCACCGAGCGTGGACCTGAGTGGTCGCTCAGCGCACGCACCCGGCTCCGCTGTTCCTGCCGCAGGCACCTGCATGTGGCGACTCCAGGGACCTGCCCAGGCCTGGATCCCAGGGCAGCCGCTGGCCAACAACTGGATAGGGAAGTCTGTAGGTGGCGCACACCTGTCAGGGCAGTGCTCCAGGAAGCTGAGACAGGAGGACCACAAGTTAGAGCCCCGCCGGGCAACTATGGACTTAGCATATAT